ATGTTAGCATATTCATCAGAAAATAATCACACAATTTTGATTATGTAAAACCAACAACATTGCAGCAGCATCAGAGCTCTGGGTGTCTTAATTAGGCTGTATATCATTTTATTTTAATATTATAAATGCATCTGATTGACAGATAAACTGCACACTCTTATCTGATATTTCAGCTAACAGTTTGCTTTGTACATTCAGTTTAACATAGAGTTAAAGAGGGTAAAATGTATCATTCATCTGAACCGTGCACGTATGTTTTAAACACTTCGGCTCTATTACATGTTCTTACTTCAGCCATGTATTAAATGTGCGTCCTTGAAAGCAAGCGGATTTCTAGTGTATTTACTTGAACTTCTCAGGTAATATCAATGGTATGAGCTGTTTCAGATGCGGCCGACATTACAATAACAGTTGTTACATAAACATATATTTAATTGTTTGATCAAAATTATTTCTAGGGACAATTTAGTAGTCGCTGGATGTTAGTAGGGACATGTCCCTAGCATCCCTACTAAATTCTATGCCCTTGCATAATTATGAGATAAAAAAGTCATATTTTTGACATAAATTGTCGAAATTATGAGATACTATATCATAATTATGAGAGAAAAAGTTGAAATTATGATGTAAAATGTAAAAATGATTAGATAAAAAGTCATACTGTATTTATGACTTAAATTGATGACATTATGAGATCATTACGAGAGGAATAAAAAGTCATAATTATGACACAAATTATCATAATTATGAGATACTATATCTATTATGAAACAAAAAGTTGACTTAATTATGTTGTAAAAAAGTACAAATTCTGAGATGTAAAGGTTAAATTATGACAAACTAAGTCATAATTATAACATAAATTGTCAAAATTATAAGATACTGTATCATAGTTATGATAAAAGTCTAATTTACAGCATAAAATGTCAAAATTCTGAGATATAAAGTCATAATTATGAGATAAAAAGACGAAATTAACACATAAAAAGTAAGTATTCTGATAAAGTAAAAGTCAATATTATGAAATAGTCAAAATTATGACATACCAAGTTAAATGATGACATAGTCATAATTATCATAAAATGTGTAACTTGTAAGACCAAATTAACAATTATGCCATAAAAGTCAAAATTATGACATACCAAGTTAAATGATGACATACTTCATAATTATCATTAGTCATAATTATCATAAAATCTGTAACTTGTAAGACCAAATTAACAATTATGCCATAAAAGTCATAATTATGACTAAACAATTCTAAAAGTCCTAATTTAGTTTGTTACTGGCAATGGTTACTATTTACTATTTATCACATGTGTGATTTTGGTGAATCGTATTAAAATCATTGTAGAGCCAGTTTGACCCACAGACATCATAATTATTAATTGTAACAACTGTAACACACACACAAACATTCAAAAATGTATTGTCCCCATTTTGTAATTCATTTATAGCAAGTGAGATTTCAATGATATTGTGGCCACTGAACTAAGATTGTCTTAGTTCAGATGTCTCCGATTTCCATTTCAGAAATCTGGTCAACTTTACCATACCAAGCTTGATTACAAGTTAACTCCAGCATTATATGTGTATGATCATGCTGTACTCTCCACTCCAACCTAAAAGTTTGTGTGCTGCTGAGTCTTCTTTTCTTCTCTTTCAACTCCTGCCATTCCTCTCTTCACACATCCAGGCTCTGTTTCTCACTGGCAGCTCCAGTTGCATTACCTGCTAATGCCCTCATATATATTTCAATACACTCTTTGTAATGATTTGCACTTTCTTTTGTTTAACTGCACACTGTTAAACTGAATTCAAAGTCCCTACTTAGAGAATAGAGACCAACTAGGGAAACCAACTACTTAAAAACTTTAAAGAAAGATTTGAGCATGTTGTTTAAGGTACAAATTCTGTGTCTTATTAAAAAAGTTAAATGATGAGATATGGAGCTGACATGCATTTGTTTGAAAAATAGAAAAAAGGTACAGAAAACAGTCTGTATTTCTTCATAAGTTTATTCAGTCTTCTAAAAGGTATGTCGAAGAGGGAGATTTAGATCAATTTACATAAAAACTGTTACACTCAGTTTAAGCTTCAAAACACACTCATCACAAGTCAGATCAATCACCTCTCAGAGTTCTTATACAAAATCAAGCCTACACTCCAATAAGGCTGAAAAGGAAGAAGTGGTGCATACAGTAAGGCCAAAACACATTCCAGAGGTGGTGAAAATCAAGGAGCAATTTAAACAACATTAAAAAAAGAGTGTAAATGAGTCACATCATTGTGGGTTATTAGAATCACTTGTGACGACAGAGTGAAAACAAGAATATATAATAAAACAATTCAGATTTTCTGAAAAGTGATACATAATTGCAACCACAATTATCGTCCTTGTCAAATATTATTGCAGTTGTTAGATAGCCTGATATCAAAGACGTCAGACCACCCAGCTAACAAAAATATAATTTTAGAACATTTTGCTAACATTCCCATTGAGTTATGAAAATTTTATTTTTGAATGTCCTCTTAACCCTCTGGGCCTATTAATTTTTGGGTCACAATTGATACCTTCACAGTCAAAAGTGACCGAAGCCTTGAAATCTAACTTTTTTAAATGTTAATGTAATATTTTTGTTCAGTAATATTTTTTTATTATTGTTTAGAATTTTGAGGAATATTTATAGAATATTTACACGATTTTTATGAGCTATTTTTTCCACCGTCATTTTTGATCGAGAAGGTACCAAGTGTAACTTTTTTTATTTTTCGTCCCTTTATCATATCCAAATCATGTCCATGATTTTGTGTGTGTGTGTGTGTGTGTGTAAACATAGCTAAGTTGACAAAAGTCACCAAGTGTCATCCCATTTCGATGAAGTAAAATGTTTTTTAAAATTCTACATTTGGTCAGTTCCGACCAAAAAGGCCCAGAGGGTTAGCATTCAAAATGTTCTGTTTTTTAATGTTTTGGTTATGCATTCCATTTGATCATTTTGCAAACATTATGGGAATGTTACTTTGAATGTTCTCTGAACGTTCTGAAACAAGTATTATGTAGCAAAACAGGTTAACATCCAACTAAAATGAATAAAACGTTCCATGAAAGATGCTAAAGTTTTGAGAACATTATGAAAGATCAGATAACAATAAACGAGCGTTCTATTAATGCTACTGAAAGAACAATTGTTCATAACTTGAGAGAACCTTGCCAGAACGTTAGCCAAAGTTCTATGAATGTTCCCTGTTAGCTGAGCAATACGACCAGGACAACTTAGATGGCCAGAACCCTGCAGTCTCATTAATATTCTCCATTAATATTCTCCATTAAAATGATCCACTTCGAGTCAAGAGGAGTCACAAGGCAAATATTCGCAGTTATTAAAGGCAGCCTGATCCTGCACAATATTACAATTTGCAGATTATATTGCATTGGAACAGCTCAGAATTAGTGAGCAGATCTAATCAAGACGCAACTGTTGATCAAAGCCAAACTTTTCTGCATTCATGCAGTGCAAAGTTTTGGAAATGAGTGGAAGACATGGGTACGTAGCCCTCCATGATTAGATGGTATTCATTTTCCTAACATCTAGGATGTATGATTTCGATCCCCAAGAAGTGAGTGTGTCTTAAGAGGTAGACAGAACAGTTCCTCTTTACGGAAAGAATCACTTGAATGGCTTATAATTGCATCTCTTGATTAATTTGGATAGGCTAGTCCACACTTAGGACCTTTTTGTAACAGCAAAGGTGCCATGATGTGCAGTGCAGTGATTCTGTCAGGATTGTTTTACTGCTTTGCATTGAATCAGAAGTATATTCTGTGCTACTAGCAGCATCTGGCATTGTTATAACAAGTCGTCCTGCCCTAAATTCATGCCATTGGATGAGCCAGTGTTGTCAATTGGGCCCAAGGCACCAAGGTATGACTTGTTAGCATGCAAAATGCATCTTTCTTAAAGGGATAGTTTGAGGGATGGTTCTGTGAAACAAAAATAACTGCTTTTCATACAATGAAAGTCGGTGGGGTCTAGTGATGTTTTGGACCCCATTGACTTCCATTGTGTGGAAAAAAAACAGCCAGACATTTCTCAAAATTGTTTATCAGAAGAAAGAAAGTCATACAGGTCTGGAACGACATGAGGGCGATTGAGGACGCTGGTTGCAAAGATGGCAGCTCATAAATCACGTACATCCATGAGGCTCTGCTAGGTCTCAGATGAACTGAGATGAACGGGACTGTTAAAGGATTAGTTCACTTCCAGAATAAAAATTTCCTGACAATTTACTCATCCCCATGTCATCCAAGATGTTCATGTCTTTCTTTCTTCAGTCGAAATGAAATGAAGGTTTTTGAGGAAAACATTCCAGGATTTTTCTCCATATAATGGACTTCAATGGTGGCCAATGGACTGAAGGTCCAAATTTGCTGTTTCAGTGCAGCATTTTCTTAAAAAATGTAAAATGTATATACTTTTTAACCACAAATGCACATCTTGCACTTGAAGCCCTTTGAAGCTGCATTGAAAGTGCAATTTGGACCTTCAACCCCTTGATCCCCATTGAAGTCCATTATATGGAGAAAAATCCTGGAATGTTTTCCTCAAAAACCTTCATTTCGTTTCGACTGAAGAAAGAAAGACTTGAACATCTTGGATGACATGGGGATGAGTAAATTATCAGGAATTTTTTATTCTGGAAGTGAACTAATCCTTTAATGGATCATTTTCTCCAAGTATTACAGATCCTACTTGCTCAGATACTGCTGCTAGTGGCACAGAAATTAATTACACTCTTCATCATTAAAGTTTCCTTGCTTGCATTCTAATGGAAATGTGACTCAGATGTTGAATCTATGAATCCAAGATGAATCTAATAGTACCTACTGTGCAGAATGAATCTGAAGCATGTGACTGATGTCTCTAATGTCTAAACACACTGTGTTTATTGGTAAAGGCAGATACAGTACATTTACGCTGAAAGAAAAAAAATGTGTCGTCTGGTTTTCAAGCTGCAATTGATGAAATTATCTTTCTATATTCATGTAAAATATGAATGGTTGGTTTCAAATTTGGAATAAACAAACTTAGAAAGCATGGTTTTGTGCAAATAATGCAGCTGTCCTTGCAGCGCCACTTGCTGTTAACACTCGGCGTCTGTGCTACTGTTTGCTGCATTGGGGCTTTCTGCAGAGGAGCTGATGGTGGTTTGCAGGACGTCACTTGCATCCATATAGCCAATCCCATTGGGCCCCGCCCACTTCTCTGGATCGCCATCCTTCATTTCACTGATTAGAAAAGTATAAGCAACAATATATAACAAAATTAAACACAGAACATAATATTTATTTATAAATATAAGTTTAACATCTGGCAAAATAGGTAACAATCTTACAGGAATAGTTCACAGAAAAATGACATTTTGTTGAAAATGTGCTCACCCTCAGGCCATTCAAGATGTAGATGAGTTTGTTTCTTAATCAGAACAGATTTGGAGAAATGTAGCATTCCATCACTTGCTCACCAGTGGATCCTCTGCAGTGAATGGGTGCCGTCAGAATGAGAGTCCAAACAGCTGATAAAAACATCACAATAATCCACAAGTAATCCACACCACTCCAGTCCATCAGTTAATGTCTTGTGAAGTGAAAAGCTGTGTGTTTGTAATAAACAAATGCATTATTAAGACGTTTTAACTTTAATCCATTGCTAAAATACAAGCCCATAATCTATAATATAGCTTTCTCCTGTGAAAAAGTTGTCTTGTCTTAATCTGGAGAGAAATATGCACAGATCAAACACCGTTTACAAGCAAAAACAGTTCTAAACAAATATGTGGGTGGATTTTGATGTGAGACGACTACAGGGGTAGACTTTTTCACTGGAGGAAGCGTTATTATGGATTCTGGACTGATATTTTGGCCAGAAGTGATGGTGAATTTGTTTATTACAAACACACAGCTTTTCACTTCACAAGATGTTAACTGATGGACT